ATGACATAGAGTTAGATTTAGCTTTAAAAAATAGAGCATCACTGCTTTTCTTCACTTGTTGAGATTAAACATTACTGAATAGAAAGGTCATATGAAGCTACCCCACAGAGGGGACATTCAAGTTTCCCCTTAAAATAAACCCTGCTTTCATCGAATTCCATTCATAATGCTTTAGATTCTTATTTCTATTTCCTTTATGCCTAAATTTCAAACTCCAGAAACAGTTTTAGGTATATCAAAGAGACATTCTGGTGGGTTCAGCATTTTTTATTATTGTTAAGGATTCAACAAGCAGTTCTCAACAGCATATACCACAATGAGTTCACCACTACAGGCTAAAAACAAATTTCCATCTTTAAAAGCAAAATATGACTATCCTCCTTGTAGCAATTTTTAACATATAGCATCATCGCTATTTTAAAGAAAGTTGACACGGGTAATAACCTTAAAAGCTTTCGTCATCTGTACATGGAGACACAGGACAGTATTCCTAGCATTACAAAAGTTTAAACATCAAGTTAAGGAGTTGTGACACAGGGAGACCCTGTGCCAAACAAAACAAAACAGAACAAACAAAACCAAACCAGATGAAAATGAGCCCATAATAAGGGCCACTGATTTTAGAATATTTTTTTAAGCATTTGGTTTTCTAGAAGTTTTAGGTGCTCAGTCTGATGAACATTTTGTCAGTGTCAGCATTTACAACTGCTTATACTAGACTGATTTCACATATATCGAACTATTTATTCCCAAATGAAAGGTATGTAAATATGCATGTGGTCTTGTGAATTTAGCTTCTCAATGTTAGCCTGACTATGAATTGTTGATATGTATGTAAAGCTACCAAGAAGAATTTATTGCTGTATAATAATTGTTTGTCCTATTTTCTCCCATACTTGAGTATCTAAAGAATAACTGCTATATCCATATTCTCATAAAAATCATGTTGCATGGAGCTTATCTCCTACTGTCTTACAGGGATCAAAAATGAAGAAATGTCCAGCATAGAAGATCGTATTACATTAGAATAGACAAGCCAAAAGTGATTGAAATTTCTGTAGAGACCATCATTAGTGCTTGCTTAGAACAGTTCTGCATATAAATCAGGCAGAAATGGTCTGTGCTCAACTTGTTCAATAGTGGTCAAAGAATGATCAAAATAGACCGCACAGTAATGCTCTATTTCTAGCATCAGAAATGCAAACCTAAATCTATTAATCAATAAATGTGTGTACCAAAGGTAACATATAGTTTTCATTGAGAAATAAAATAAAATGAAACTAAGAAAAGCAAATATTATAAAATGAATATAAGTATATATTTCATCTTAGGATTTATATGGAGTGCCAAAAAATGAATCTTAAGTACTTGGACTTAATAGCATTTTGGAACTTACTGCAGTTTGCAATCTATTCTATCTCAAAACCCCACCCCATTCTTGCCATGCCCCTTTAACACATGCTTTAAATAATTTTGAAGGTTTAAGGTTACCAATAAATTTTTTTTATAAAAGGTTAAATCCTTTTACTAAAAAATTATTGGGGTATTACTATTGTTTTGGGTGCTTTCAAACTCAATGCTATAATCGAAAACTGAAATGTCTCCACAGGCTCAGTCTCCATCTTGTGGTATGTACTCTAAGAGCTTAACACTACTGGCTGGTTCCTAGTAACTGATTACTAAATACTACTTGGATGAATGCTATACTTTTGTTTCCTAGGTGGTTGTTGTCTTATTCTGGGTTTCTATTACTGCAATGAAACACCATGACCTAAAAGCAAATTGGAGAGGAAAGAATTTATTCAGTTTATACTTCCACATTGCTATTCATCATTGAAGGATGGACAGGAATTCAAACAGGGCAAGAACCTGGAGGCAGGAGCTGATGCTGAGGCCATGGAGGAGTGATGCTTACTGGCTTGCTCACATGGCTTGCACAGCCTGCTTTCTTATAGAACTCAGAACTACCAGCCCAGAGATGTATGTATATGAAGCAGAGAGGATGGGGCAAATGTGAGCTTTATTTAGGTTTGTCTTTGGAACTTGCCTATTGGGGTCACATCTGATGAGAAGGGCTGTGAATCAAACATAATGTTGTTCCTCCTAAATTCTCTATGGTATAAACAGTACTACTAGGCACAATAGTGAAGTACAATTACATAAGAGAGAGATATCCTGCCCTCACTTCATCCATGATGACCATGAAGCTTTGACACCATGAGGGCCATGTATAAGTATCCCCGCTGCTATAGCAAGCAGCAGGCATGGGATACGCATGTTACAAGGGAAAGAGTACTGCATGCAACTTTTTGTTTATGAAGTGGCTCCTGAAAACTTCAGGAAATACTTCTGAGACCCCTTTCCACAGCTGAAGTGTTGAGTGCATAGAAGGAGGCAGAACCAGCAAAACATGTATGTATATGAAGCAGAGAGGATGGGGCAAATGTGAGCTTTATTTAGAAGTAGTTTTTCTCTAACAGAGTTGGTTTCTTCGTATGCTATATATAACACTGTCACTTACTCCCCCTATATATTCCCAAATGGTAAATTATAGCTTCTCATTTATACCGTTATCTTGCTGATATATAAAAACTAAGAGTATCTCCTGAATTAGTTATTGTTTCAAATGCAGTTTTCTTGGTTGCTCTATGCTCTTCTAAAGCCAAAATACATTTACGCTGTTCCTTGGTTTTATTTCCTCACAATTTTCTCTTATGAGTATTATAAATGTCAAAATTATATATTTAAATCTAGTCATAACAAAAGGAGCTATAGTAGATATCTACCTATTGCAGAAATGCCTACTTACGTTTATTTACAATAAACAAGGAAAGAAGCTGTTGGTTTGGCTGAAGCAGAGAGGCCAGGTCTAGATTTCTCTTGCTATTTAATAGTAAAAACCCATGTGGAGTTGTTATTTTTATTTTAAGTATGTTTTTCATTTATGTGATGTCTTGCTCTACATTCTTCTTTTTCCTCAAAAGCTTATGCTTGACCTTATTAGGAAAAAATCAGGAATACTGATGGGTAATTATCTCCAAAGTGAATTGCAAACACACTAAAATTAAGTGTTATAATAAATGAAGTAAGAAAGAGGGTCAAGAAAAGATTAAGCAAATTTTTAATTGATAAGTCTATACTTAATTAAGTATAAGTTAAGAAAAAAAAAAACAAGATGGTTCTTCTATGCACTAAACCTGGTTGCCTGTAGAAATGACTACCAGAGAGCTAAATTGACTACTTTTTTAACTTCATTTGCTTTTATGGGCAATCTAGCTATAAAACAAAGGACATCACAATTTAGATTACTTGAAATTAATATAATTACAGTGTTAGTGAGGATATTCCTGGTGTTTCATAGTTGACAACACTGTAGTCCCTTGAGTATGAAACATCCAGAAAACCCAATGAATGAATGAATAATGTCTCATATAGGCTCTCTGGGATCAGTATGAGGTATGAGACTTTTAGCAAATGAGTAGGCTTAGAAAATACTAGAAGATAATGACACCTTTTTGATGGTCTAGAATAACATGCTTTAATTTAGAAACTTTATTAAGTTTCTTAGCAGAGAAATATATTGATTAACTAAATTATTTCAGTTTGCTAGTGTTACTCTTAATGGATGGAAGAAACCTCTGAGAGCAGGAAGACATAGAGAAATGGAAGAACACGGTGGAATGACTGCTTTCTACATGTCAGTAGGCATTTCTTTTAGCCTTTGGTCATATAATATGATGTAAAAATTTTATTATGAACATATAAACAGATTTTTGAAAAAGTCTTTTGTCAAGTTTGACAAAACAATTAGAGGACATCTTTAATGACTTTATATACATAAAGCAGTATCACCTTCCAATCAAAACACTTTTCTCCTCTCAATCAAACCTTCACTTTAAGCTATCTTTATAAGCCTTCCTTGAAGCGTAAACATGGAACATTAACCATTACCCAAATAAAAACTTTTCTCAAATAGGAAAAAAATGAATATAACTTAATAGGCTTCAGCTATTTTTCTCACTATTGCCCAAAGCTTTTATGAACAACTCAAGCATTAACTACCACTCCTTCTCTCAATTTGTTGAGTTTCAGTGGCTACCAATTTCTATTCCATTTACATACAATAACTTTAAATTCAAGCACAGAATATTTTTGGGGGTGTATAGGCTAGTTTAGTCAATTATACCAATTTAATTAAGCAGCATTTCTATATTTAGTATTAATTTTTATTTTTTCATTATTTGTCCAAATAGCTTTATAGCTCACAAAGGGGAAACAAAGTTAATATGCCTACCTTTCTTTTTTTTTAGATCAAGAAAGATATGAAGGGAATATATGAGGAAGTGATCATCTTGGAGAATGTGGTCAGACAAACTAATCTGGATTATCCCGAGAAGAGTTACTATTTACCCCACCCACACTATCTGAACAGAGAAACATGAGTGTCTAGTTCCACTTGTCTTGTTTCATGTATGTATTTCCCCAATGAGACCACCTTTTATGGTATAACTTTATCTGTTGCTATTAAAATACAAAGGAAAAAAAAAACAAAAAATACAACCAACAAAAGACAATTATTCCATTACTTGCTGATTTTTGAGGATCATGGCGAGTCTTCCATTATTAATAACGATAATGGGCCATACATTATGGCGAAAACTAAAAATGAACTGTACAAACAAGCTAATTACATTTATGTTTTTAATCACCTTCTACCCAAGCCTCATGCTCATAAAACAACAATTAAAATATTTAATATTAAACACAGTGGGATTCCTTATTTCTGAGGCTTTCAAAACACATGATTACTTTACAGCACATTTATAGGGTTAAAACTTGCAAACTTATTACACTAGGGGCTTACACAGATTCCACATATCAACTGAGATCAGCTGAGAAAAAAACATCTTCCTGACAAACTTTACTCTTCCTTTTTTGAAAGAGGGACTTGGTGTAGAACATTCACATTTACCAGACTATGACAGCTAGAATGGTCTTACCTGGATTCCTTGGAATTCTCTTTCTGCGGTCTCTGAATGCTGCACCTGACTGTAGGGCTTCCAGAAGATTATCCATCACTCCGGTCTCATCACCCTCTGGAGGACGAGAGAAATCAGAATTAATCTTATGGCAATTAAAGTTAAACTACAGGAAAATAAAGGGGAAAAACTCCTGTCAGATTTACATAATCCCCTTAAATTAAAGACATATATCTGTTTTAACATAATGGGTCCTGTCAATTTCTGGCATCACAGACTACTTTGCTTATTACGCGCCATTAAGCAAAATTCATGCCAATCCTACTGTTCTTTCAACTTAAAGACCTTGTCTTTTGTATTATTGATGACACACTCAGTATGCAAATAAATAGTAGCTGATCAGCTACTGCAGCCTTCCTGTTAAGATTCTTCTAAGATATTCCTAAGCAAGAACCACTGACCTGGCTTAATGCAATCAATGTTCAGGGCGTGATTTGATGAAGCAGAGGTATACAAGGTTAAATACTGATTGTATTAATACCTTCAGCATTCAACCATCATCTGCGATTATCTCAAAAGGCACTATTTGCAAAACACATTTGCATTCAATTCTTACCCAATCCATATCCTTTACTCATTTTGAAATGCTGACATTCTATAAAGAAAAGGTGACCACATCATCTGAAAGGCCACATTTTATATTGAGAAACATCAGCCAAAAAGTCTCATTTGCTTTTTAGAATGCTGGTGTGTGCCTCAAGGCTTTTCTTCTGGGAAAGAGCTATTAGAAATGAGGATGGAGAGTACTCAAAGGATGCTCATGGAATTCCATAACAGAAATGTTTATGGCATTACACTTTACTCTTACCTTTGACAACTCTGGCCATCTAGCACAGGCTGATATCCATAACAGTATTTATAATAGATATCCATAACGATATTTATAATAAAGTGTCAGTTGACAGGAATGTTACAGGGACCTAAACTTTCTATGTAAAATTGCCTAACTCTTGGAAAGAACCCTCACTAGGTGGACCCTTTGAGCTAGCTGTATGGGTCTGGAATATGGGACATTTGTAGGTAGGAAGGATAAGACAAGAATGGATAGTGAGTGAGAAAATATCTCCCATTCCAGTCTAAGGTTAAACCAAAATCCTACTGTGCCTTTTATTATTATATTACAGGAAATTATATTACAGGAAAATTTCTCTAATAGGATAAGAACAAGCTAGAAGCACTATGCTCTTCATTTGAGTGGAAATTTCTTCAATGTTATAATTATTTATCCTTTTAAAATAAGCTACCTAGGACAGGATATTGAGTAAAAATGGAAAGGAGACACAGAGGTTCTCAAAAGCAGTATCTGATGAAAATGTAGTGGAAGGAGTATTCCCTGTGATTAAAGAAAGAGGGCTGTGTTTTTAAACATTAAGATCGATGACATATTTGGATCATCACTCAATATTGCCAAAAGAAAGAAAAGAGGAACAAAGTAGTTAAATAGCTCAGTATGGATGGAATGTGACCAGGATAATAAATTAAGTATTAGATGCTTTAAATTCCTTATGCCTTTTCAGATGGGAATAAGAAAACTAAGACATCGCACAGATGGTATATAAAGGAACCTAAATATGAACCCAAATCATTCATATTAAAGATAATATATTTAAAATAATGATATACTTAATATACTTTTTATCAGGCCAAGACTTAGAAATCTAGTGAATATTTCCTTTTGTACACTTTAATTTTATTAGCAGGAATTCAAGTGCATGTGATCTGTGGCCACTATATTGGGCAGTATGAATAAAGGCAATAGGAAGCCATGTTACATGATCAAGCTTGTGTTTTATAGAGGCTTGCCAAATCGCGTCATTGCACAAAAGGAGGCAGAAAAATGTCTAAGAACATACCCCATTTATCTAAGTAACACAAAAAACAGGAGAATAAGGAATGGAGAGGCCATGTATTTGGAAATTATCAATAGAATCACTAAGACTTGGCTGGGGAAAGAGAAACTTAAGCAGGAAAGGAGTCTGGATAATCAGGAATAAATAGGTTTAGGATAATCTGAGGACCTATGTAAAGAGCTCCAAGAATGTTCCCCACTGTGTGTATGTGGAAGGGTGAGTGTGTGGATGCCACAGCATACATATGCAAGCCAGAACAGGACCTTAAGTGTCAGGCTTCACTTTACAACTTATTGCAGACAAATTCTCTTTGTTGTTGTGCGTGTTTCCCTTGACCCTATTTGACAAGAGGCTTGCTGTCACTAGAGCTTTGGGGGATTTGCCTATCATCTTTGCTTCCCATAGCAGCATAGAAGTGCTAGGATTAGAGACGCTTAATTTACTGTGGATTGCTCTGATATGAGCTCTGGGTATTCAAACTCAGGTCTGCTTGCTTTCACTTTCACAGAAAGCACTTTTATACACCCAGTGTCCTCAGCCTCTGGACTGCAGCATTTAACCAGAAGTCAGGAAAAGGAGAAGTATAAATATGGAGAAGAAATCTTCACAGCTAAAGAACAAACAAGAGAGTAATGATGCAAGTGAGCTTCGTGTGCTTGTGGGAAAATGGTAATTATCAAGACTGTATAAACTTGAGGAGGTGTAAACAAGTGAACAGAGCAGAATACAAAATGGTATCTATCTATGGCTTACATAAATTAGATGAAAACATACAATTTTATTTATGGGTATTGTTACATTAAATTTTTTAATGGTATATTTTGATTAGACTAAAAATGTGGAATATAAACACAAAGATGGCAAAAATAAATCCTTTTGTTTAATTTAGCTATATGCTACCTGACAACATTTATTGAAATACTACGTTATGGCATGTTTCTCATCTATTTCTCATTATCATTTCCTTCCTTTCTTATGGGACATTTTAATACATATTTTCTCCAGTGTTCACCCCTCTTAAAATGCAAAGTCATGGAATGACTGCTTATCTATTCATGTTATGTGATGTTTATCTATGCCACAAACCACTGTACTATCAAAGATTTTTCTCTAACTACCAGGAACTCACCTCCTGTGGTGATACTGTTTCTGTTGAGAATATATATATATATATATATATATATATATATATGTATATCACATTGTGTTTCTAAACCAGCAACAGAAACAGCAAGAACAGTGCTTTACATACATCTTTTGCTTATCAAAGGGAAGAAATGTAGTCCATTACAGTTTCATTTGCTCCGTGCTAACTTTAAATGTAATTTTCATAAAATGTCTAACCTTAACAGAACAGATCTAAGTTTTGCAAATATAATCATAGGACCAATTTACATTGCTTCCTCAAACAAAATAGAAACCAATATGGTCACTTGAAAGATATTACCTTTTATTTTGAATAAATTTCAGTGAAATTTGGTCTGTGATTTAATTGCGTAAAGTTGACAGTTCACTTAGAATTTTCAAGTTAATATAACCATGGATTCTTATTTACATGTAATTAGTAGTGAGTAACTTTTTACTATATATGGAGTCAAGTCAAGGGAAAAATGTGTTCCTTTTTATTGTAAATGAAAAATATTAAGCACACAAAAAGTGCTTTTTTACAACATGCAGTACCTATTTTCCTGAATAAAGAAATACCAAGAGAATCTTGTAATGCTTTTTAGTCATTAAAATGATTATGTGTGGGCACGGTTGAGAAGTAACAATTCAGAGTTCACTTTATAGTCTTTCATCACACGATTAGTTACAGAGTACACCAAGGAGCTAGGTGGGCTGCATAAAGTTTCAGGACTCTGTGAACAGCTTATCATCCGATAAACTGAAAGGTGTGGGTGACGACGCCTTCTGCTTCATGGTTCCCACAGAACTTGTCATTCAGTAGACAGTAAAGCTCAGTTTTCAGCACTAAAGCTGACCTATGTGGTATTGATTTATTTCCTCCAAAGTGTTTGGAGATGCCACAGATTAAAGTAAACACTAGGTAAATTAATATTCTCTGCTATGCTTTTAAGCAAAACTATTCCCCGATGGCTAGCATATACTTATGTGAAAGAATTCTCTATGGGCTTTGCGCAATTTTGCATATTTTTAAAGTCTATTTTTATAGCAATATTTTATATGACACAGAGCTTCTATCTAAGGTAAATGGTAGGTTTGTCTGCTTTAAAAAAAAAAACAAATTATATGTTCCTCCAGGGCAAATGCTTTGCTTTCAGTCCATTATCATAGATTATGGATTTTCTAAGCTTAGGGCGCCTCTGGAGTGCTGCAAACCCATTGTCTGTGTAGCCTCCATCTGGCAGCACCTTTGTACCCCTCTATTGTAGTAGAAGAGCAAGGAAAAGGATTAAGAACACGAGAACACATAAATCATACTACTTACTCTATATACTGTGTTTAGTCTATGTACACTATGTGTATGTCTGACCTCTGAGCTATGTACCTTCCAACAATATCCATTAAATTGTGGCATGCTAATTCGTTAGCTACATCATTTTTGAAATGATTTTTATTCTTTTCTTTCATTCTTGTATCAAATACTGTTAATTAGAATATTATTTACGTATCTAGTAACTGAACAGAGTCTTGGACACTTCTATTATTGAAGATGGCACTCCAACTCACCAGGCTTGAGAATTACTAGCTAAAACATAATACAAGTTCAAGGTATTTTCTCTTAACTGCTTAGGAACAGGTGTATTTCACAGTCTGTTGGCTTTTATAATATTTGCATTCACTTTATCAGTTGAGCTTGCCTAATCCTAAGCCCAAATCTTTTCAAAATTTACCAATTCGGGAGTGGTTCAGATTAAGAATGTCATTTCCTAGAGTCTTAAAAACCTGAGCATAATGACTTCATTACAGATTCCTCAAATTTTCAATTTTATAATTAAATACCTCTGTCAAAACTGAAGAAAGTTGCTATCAACTAGTAAGTGACCCCAAAGAAACAAATGCTTCTTACTGAGGGTAGGACACTTCTTTGTGAGATAATAGCTGCAGATATTAATTTCAAAAATGAAACTATGCTTTCTATGAACAAGAAGACAAGGGAAAGGTGTTATGAATAAATCTGTCCTAAATAAAGCCTCCCAAAACATTAAATTTCTGTAGTAATTTAGGTATTATAGATATTTGCGA